CAAACTCATATATCACATTTTGAACTCACATATATATGAGCTACATATATATATACACAAAATACAAGATATATATATATATGTATATATATATACACGCACTTGGAAACAAGTTTTTAGACATTTCAAGTGAAACTCTAGAGAGCCAACCTAATTAAATTATAATCCTTTACAGTAATATATCTGTCTCAATTACTATGCAAGAATGTTATAATTCTCCTTGAATAGTTGATATAACTTTTTGGAATTATGATATTATGGTGTATTGAACCCTTTCCTTAAATCACATATGAGAACTTACGAAGGAGGGCATAGGGATCACAACTTACTTGAAGTTGGAGTTGATTCTTTCTGTTCACAACTCCCTCATCTACTCTCCATTCTCATATTATCTGCAGGGCCACTCAGAAATCCTTGTGCTTTTCTCTTGGTGGCCATCTTATGTCTGCTAATTCCAAATTTGCCTCAAGAGAGTTTCTAAGATTTAGAGTCTGCTAGTTTGTGTTGTTCCTGTGAATACTACAGAGATGAAATGGCTTCCTGGATCCTACCCCCTTCTCCTATTTATCCCAGTTCACTGGTTGTTCTTTTTCAGTCTCCTTTGCCGAATATATGTCATGTCCTTGACCTCTTTATGTGCCCTAATTTCAGTCTTCAGATTTCTCCTACCCTGTCCTGCACTCTCTCCCCTAAATGATCTCATTCAGTCTTAAAACCTTTGCATCTACCCTACCAGATCTAAAACTGAGTTTCCCCCTCCAAAACAATCCCACTGACCTTTCTATAATTTTCCGCATCTCATCCATGGTCACTCCGTGCTTCCACTTATTCGGCCATAAGCCACAGAGTCAACTTTGTCTCCTTTCTCTCACATTCCACATACACTCTACCTGAAACTGCTGATCTTGTTGCCATCGCTAACATCATTGCATTTCCCTGTTCCAAGCCACATTTTGCCATTGGAAGACTGTTAGCAGCTGGGACATTTCATTAGCCACTGGAGCTTCCCTGAGTCATATCTTGGTCACGCTTCCCCTGACACCATTTACTCTGCCCCAGCTGCCCTGGATCCATGCTGTCTACCAAGCATGGGCCAGTCTCCGGGCCAGTGTCCTCGCTTTTTCCTCTGGTAGACTACTCCTCCTCCAGGCAGTCACGTAGCTCTCCCCATTACTTCATTCGTCTCTGCAACAAGCCTTTGTTTAGGGAGATCTTCATGGAAGCCCCTGGCTAAAAGGGTACCCCAGCCCCTCTTAATTCACTGAGGCTGCTCTGTTCTCCCTGGTAGCACCTGCACTGTCTGATATCACATTACACATCTACTTGTGTTTTGCTCAGCTTTACCGAAGTATAACTGGCAAATAAAATTGTAATATAATTAAAGTGTGCATGGGATGATTTGATATACATATATGTACAAATTAATTAACACATCTATCACCCCCACATATTTCCTTTTTTTGTGTGGGGGGGTTGAGAACACAGGTTCTATTTGCTTAGCAAGTTTCAATTATACAATAAAGTATTATCAACTACAGTTACCATGTTATATATTAGATCCTTAGACCCCATTCATCTTATAACTGGAAGTTTGTATCCTTTTACCAGCCTTTCCCAATTTCCCCCCCCTCCCCAACCCCTGACAACCACCATTCCACACTCGGTTTCTACGAGTTTAATTTTTTTTAATTCCACACGTGAGTGAAACCACACAGTTTCTGTCTTTCTCTGTCTGACAAAGATGGCTGGCGTGTTTGGGAAAGAACAAGGGACTCCAACGTGGCCTCATTGTAGAAGGGAGGAGAGGGCCTTGGTGGGAAAAGGTGGTCAGATTGCAGAGGGGAGAGGGTTTCTTCTACTCTGCTGAAAGATATCTGACCTTTCCTTGAGTAGGCGGTGGATAACCCCTGAGCTACACTGTCCAGATGGTTGACAGTTTGTCCTATTTGTCTTGGTAGGAAATATTGAAAAACTCATGCATGGAAGTGAGTTAGTGATCACTCGCCTTACTCCTTACTTTTCATTGGCTGCACAGATTGAAGCCACTGAAGAGAGGTATCTCCGCCTCCTTCAACTGTATTTCATCCTTGTATTTCTTTGCTTTGTATTTTAACTCTTCTTACCACACACAGGTCTTTGCTTTGTTAATTAATGTGCCAAGCTTTAGGTGGTGATAGGAGTGGGTCATGAAATCACTCTAGTAGGTTTGGACTTAAATTTCTTCTAATAATGCAGGAGAATAAAATTGAATAAAAGTTATAGGATATATATATACATATGTATATGTATAAATATATTTTATATTATATACACACAAGTTTTTTGTGTCCCAAGTTATGATATAAAAGAATGATTTCTTACAATGGTTGCAGTTAAGAAAGTTTGAAAGCCACTGAACTAGCCACTTGGATTTGGTATTTTGATTCTTAGAGGGTCTTTTCCATAAAAATATACTTAAATTATACAAATCACAGAAAACAAAAATGAAAACACACCTTTTTATTGATCCTGCTAACCAATCAAGGTAGCACTCTTTCTTTTTCCTTCTCAGAAATTCCTAAAGCTATAAGCGGACATCCTTGTAACATAATGTCTGTTTCCACAATTGACTATCAAAACTCTTCCGTGACCCTCACAGGTCATGGCTCCCCTGCGAACTTGGGCTTCTCTGGAAGCAGCTGCTTTTCTCGCTGGGGGTGTCCGTAGCCCTGTGGTCTCCATTCCCTTGCCTCCCTGACAGCTTCCGTCTTGGCTCATCTTTCTTTTCTGGTTTCTCTAGTGTAGGGAATTCTGTTTTTCCTTTTTTCCACATGCTCCCCTTGGGAAACATAACCCTGGGAAATCTTATCCAATTTTAATTCATTTATTAACATATCTCTTCCTCCATCTGCCCTTCCAATTCTATTTCCATTTTCTGCAGCTATTTGCATATTTCCATTTGGACAGATCTATCATATCAATTTTAACCTATTCAGAACATAAATTGTCTGTCCTCTGCAATAGCTCTCTCCTGGTTTCCCTATTTCGGTTAATCGCGCTACAATTTTTGAGGTCAACCTGGCTAACAACCTTGGGCTTCAACTCCTGCCTGGTCTGAACTGCTCATGTCTAATTAGTAAGCACTTCTGGAGAGCTGCATTCAACAAGGCTGTCATCACACCAGTCCTCTCCTCTCCCTTCCTGTTACTATCGCCTGCCTTCACGTTCTCATTATCTTTTGCCTAAATTAGTGCAATAGCTTATATTAATCGCGCTCTTCACTTTTTTCTTTGCCTGTTTTAATTCATTTTACTTAGCTCTCCCATAACAGTCTTCCTAAAGTGTGGCTCTGGTCACATTAACCTTTTCTTTTTGTTTGTTTTAACTAAACGCTTGCAATGTTTCCTCATTACAGAGAAAATTAAATAGCAATTTCTTAGATGGGCATTCAAGGATTTCTATACCATGGCCTCCATTCTCCTGCTCAGTTTCATCTGCAATTATGAATTGTATTTGAACTCCATGCTCCAAACTCTTACTTATTAGTTCTTAAACGTGAAGAACTGTGTTTTCTGTTTTCTAAGCTTTTGTTCATGTAATTTCCTGCTATCTCCCCCAGTAAAAACCTTTCAATCCACTGTTCATGATCTATTATAATAGATGCTACTACCAGCATCTATTACCAGGATTAGTAGCAGCATCTACTTCTTTCAATGCTACTACTTCTTTCAATATGTTCTTGAAGCTTCCCAGATCAAGTGTGGTATTTTGTACCTTTGAATTCCCTTTATATTTAAGTTGACTTCTCTTAAGACACACATTTTATTGTGAGCCTTTTCAGCAGACGTTATGCTTCATTCTTATCAAAGAAGTTATCAGTTAATTACTGAATCTTTCTAATCCAATGGCTCACATTTTAATAACAATACAATAAATAACATTCTCTTGTTTAAATCTAGTCATCAGAAGGAGATTAGGGAAAGGAAAATAGAAATAATGTTATTTTTCATACACCTACCACTTGGTGCTTGCCAGAACAAAAAGAACACGTATTTTATCCTTGTCAATAACCCACTTACCTAAAAATTTACATTTGACAAAAGACCTGTGGTTCTCTTAAGCAGAAAAAAAAAAAAAAAAGAGGAGATTTCAGAAGAAAGGGAGACAATTTACATGACAATGTTTTCAGAATAAAGCCAAGGACAAGAAAAACAAAAACAAACAAAAAAACCCTGAGTAAGCAGCGGGGAAATAATCTCTTTATCTCAATTGCTTCGTGGTTCTCATATACTCAAGAAAAGGAGTCCAGGATTCTAATTCTGAACAAACTGCCCTACATTCTTTTCAAAAGCAAATTCTTAGAGAAAAAACTGCCCTACCAGGTAGAGATTGAAGTCTATAAATCACTTACACGTTCAAGTATAGACATAGTTAGCAACAAGGGTTTTCATCAATATATAAACCAATGCAGAATGTGCAGACAGCACTGAAATAAGATATTCTGGCTTTTGTTTCCCCTTATGGCTGTGTTTCCATGGTACCAAGCTCAGACCATCTTAACAGAACGGGACTGCGATTCTGGGAAATACGGGCTTATTTTGGAGCATAAAAATAAGTCACCATCCTTTAACTATTTTTTCAACTATTTTCTTAATAATTCTTTACAAATTGTGAATTAAATACACAAAATGAGTGGAAGGAGTCACAAAAGTCAGATAATATGTACCCAAACAACCCTTCATAGATGAGTTTATGGCAGAACTATATGCAAATACAAGACCCTTATAAAAGTGTATCAAATTACACACGTATGTACATATATCATTTATTTCAGAAACATAAATTATGTTAATACTAGTATTGACATTTTAATTAGTGCAAATTAGTAATTATTATTTACTTGGGACAGGCTTTTAATGGAAAAATAAACCACAGAGCATTATGTGCTCACTTTTGTCATGTTTTTATATTGTTTAAAAAAAAAGTCTATCTTAAACTGAGAGTTTGTCTACGTGGAAAAAATAGTTAAATCACAGAAAGCCCGTGTGCTACACAGATGGTGCTGATTGGGAAATAAGGTAATATTTCTCAGTCTTACTTGTTGCTGGAAGAAATTAGAGGGCAAGCACACTGCTGACAGTCATCTGGCAATCCCCTGACAATTCCATAATATCCAGGAGCACATCGTTCACAGAAGTCACCAGCAGTGTGATGTTGACAATTCTGTAAATGAAAAGGGAGAAGTTCGTTCTTCATTTACTGAGAGTTAGAATGTGATTTATCATACAGCTCCCCACCTGTGTGTGCTCCTGCATATACACACACAGACACACACATCTCATTGAAAGAGTTCTTGAGAAGTATATACTTTAGAGAGAGGGGGAGAGGGTGCGTACGGGGGTGGGCTGGGGGAGGGGCAGAGGGAGAGGAAGAGAGAAAATCTTAAGCAGTCTCCACACCCAGCACAGCACCTGACCCAGGGCTCAGTCTCGCAGTCCTGAGATCATTACCTGAGCTGACGATAGCCCCCTATTTTCAGAGAAAAGGAAGCACTCATTTGAGTGTTCCCTCAGCTTCCTGTGAAAGACTTGCCATTTGTCTTGCAGTACTTTCCATCCCTTTAACATTTATTCCTGTCCATAGGAAGTGGTGTTTGTCCTTTGTCTAAAGCTACTCTCTTCCTAAACTGGATTCCTTGCCTTTCTGCCTCCCCCTTTTGACCAGCATCTGCATCTTTCCCTCCTTTGCTCATTTATCCCATTGGCATTTGAGGTTGGTCCAGACTTCCCTAGCTCAAAAATATCTCTGGGGCCTCAAGTCTCTGGAAATTTCCATCTATCTTTGATAAGCATTTTAAAAGCATTATTTGCATTCCTGATTTCTATTTCCTTATCTCCCTTCAGCTCTCCCCACTTTAAAAAAGCTTCTCATGTCACCAGGACTCCAGGCTCACTGATAAGATATTTGTTGATAAATAAAAATTCCTTGACAATAATAAGCCTTCATGATATATGAATTTTCTGCAGCAGCTTATATTTCTGGCTACTCTTTGAAATTTCTCTTCCTATGGTTTCTTTAATGGTATGGTCTGCTGATTTTTCTCCTAACTCTATGGCTACTCTTCCTTATGCTCATTCATGGACTCTTTCTTCCCTTTCTGTGTAGTAAGATTGGTGTCCTTGATTCTAACTTTGGCTCTCACCTCTTTTTTTTCTTTTTCTTTTTCTTACACACTCTACCTTGGTGATTTCACCCATTACTTTGACTTTAGGTATCATCTAATTGCCAAAAACTCTAAATTTTACATATTCAGGCCAGATTTCTCTAATGAGTTCTAGACTTACATTTCCAAATGCTTCCTGGATAGATCTTACTGCATAACAAAAGCACCTTGAATTTGAACTATCAAAAATTAAGCTCATCTCTCTTTAAACCTGCTAATATTTCTGTACTGTCCATTTCATCTGGGGTCTCTATCACCTGCTCAATTGCCCAGGCCAGCAGTCTAGAGGCCCCTCTCATGCCAGAGAACCTGTTTGATCAGTGCGTTCCATGATTCTATTACTCTCTGTTTCTTTACTTTCTCATCTCTACTATTTTTATCTGGCCACTCTCATTTTTTACCTGGCTTATTGGAACAGAATTTAGGTAAAGATCCTGCTTCTAAATTTTTTTTTAAAAGAAGGATTTATTTATTTACATTTATTTTATTCATTTATTTGACAGAGACAGTGAGAGAGGGAACACAAGCAGGGGGAGTGCGAGAGGGAGAAGAAGGCTTCCCGCTGAGCAGGGAGCCCGATGCGGGACTCGATCCCAGGACTCCGGGGTCACGACCTGAGCCGAAGGCAGACACTTAATGACTGAGCCACCCAGGTGCCCCCTGCTTCTAAATTTTTTATGCAGTGATTTTCCCACACTGCAATCAGAATGACCATCTTATAGAACTTATCATACCATGCCATTCTCTTGCTGGGAAGCCTGCATTAGTTCTCCATTGTCCTTAGGATGAATTATAAACTTTCCAGCATGGCAAGAAAGACTTTTCATCTGCTCACTTACCCCTCCAGCCTTACCTCTAGCCCCTGCTACCTTTGTATGCTATGTGAAAGCCATATAGGACCATCTGAAATTCTCATATTATGCCGTGCTCTCTCTTTCCTCCGGGACTTCTTATATGCAAATCCCTTGTTTTGGAATGTTATCCCCTCCTCTTACCAGATTAGCACCTATTCATTTCAGCTCTCATTTTAAATGTTGCTTTATCTGATAAACATTCCCTGATGTCCTAAGTCTGGGCTAAATGCCCATTCTAGCTCAACACAGTGACTGAAATATGGTAGTCATTTGATGACTATTCTGAATGACTGAATGCACAATATAGGAAGTATAGATGAAACTGGTCAGTCTTCTTAAGATGAAAAAGGCCAAGTTTCAAGTCTAATGACTTTATAGAAATGTGGTTAACAGCATAAGATAATTTGTTGTATTCTGAATTAGGATTTGCTATATAAGTACCATGATCTTCTTTTATTCAGCCATCCAAAGGAACCAGCATTTTAGCAATAAAATAACCATTCCATATTTAAGAACAGCATGGCAAGAGATGGTTCCAGGATAAATTACCCATACGTTCCAGTCTAAATCATTCAGCAAGGTGTCAAATGGTAAGTTAACCGGGGAGTGTTTTAAGGACATATTTTATAGCTATGTGAATAAACATGTGCCAAAAAAATATATAGGCTCTTGAACAATTATCAGCACTTTGCTTTTGTAAAAATAAACCCACTGCATAATGAATTATTTTATGTAACCTAATATAGCATTAATAATTGACTCAAAACACTTAGATAATATTGATCACTACCAGAAATACAGAGATTCAAAAATATGGTTTGCTGCTCTTATACCTACAACTCTATATACTTTCTTCACAGATCAAGCAAATATTTTAACCTTCTCTGGACAGTCAGTCTTTCACAGGTTACTGACATACTAAACTTGGTTAACGAAATCAAATGTTCTGGTTAGGTCCACAAACACAACACATAAATCATGATGCTATTTTTGAAACTTTTTGACACAGACCTTTCATATGACTTTCCTGTCTGCTTTGAGACACAATATTCGTCTTGTACAGAAATTAATCTCAGGGCACCTGGGTGGCTCAGTTGTTAAGCGTCTGCCTTTGGCTTAGGTCATGATCCCAGGGTGCTGGGATCGAGCCCCGCATCAGGCTCCCTGCTTGGCGGGAAGCCTGCTTCTCCCTCTCCCATTCCCCCTCTCTTGCTGTCTCTTTCTGTCAAATAAATAAATAAAATCTTTAAAAAAATTTAAAAAAAGAAATTAATCTTTAGGAAAAATTCCTATATTTCAGATGTCTAACGAGAAGTTTAATTATATTCTCAAGAGTGATATTATATGTTCTAGTACCTTTTCAATAACAGATTAGGATATATGATATTTGTATTTTTTTGCACATGGAAAAACTGGTGGTATATATTCCTTCTACTAAATCAAAATAATATAACATTAATATTATATAGTACCTTAGATCTGAGGTGAGAAGTTGCTTAACTTAGTCTTCTTTCCTTAAAGGGATGCCTCCCCACCTTTTTTTAAATACATTATTGAATGAATGATCCTTATAAGGCAGCCTTTTTCATCTTGTACAATTATAAGCTATGAATTTTTTCCTTATGTTGAATGAAAACTATCTCATTCTGATTTTCAGTTAATGATCCAAGTTCTGCCCTCTGAAGCTACGAAGATTAAGTCTAATTCCCATTTCTCAAGGCAAGTCCTCAAATGTCTACAAAATACTATTACTTCCTAAATCTCTTCAAGTTAAACATTTAATAATCTTGATCACTCAGAATTTCTCTTAAAATAGATATTAAAGTCTCTACCGTGATTTGCAAATATAGTGACTATATTCCCTTCCCTCATCTGGATCTTGGATACATGACTCTGCAGTCAAGTAAAAACTCCTATTTCACAGGAATTGCTACTACACGTCATTTTCTCTGCTCTTTCCCTAAGCACTAGAATATAAGCTCCTAGAGGGCAAGGCCTCTGCTTTCCTCATCTTGGTATCTTTTCATCACCTACTGCAATACCTACGCATTGGAAATATTTATTAAGTGCCACAAGAATGAATGAACAAGTGAGCCTCCCTAAGTTCAGAAAGTCTTATATTAATTTCATCTTGTTAATTGTGGCTCATACTTCCACCTGTCAGGCTCTTTTAGCTTCTTGACCACCATCTAATACATTAGATTACACTTCCAGCTTTATTTGATACATCTCATCCAGATCACTGATCACGATTTTGAACAGGATGGGGTGAAACACAAAGCCTATGTCTCATCATTGGAGATATGAACCTAGAACCCAGCACATATTCTTCAGGGGTAGAGAAACTTCTACAGTCATTAAACTTGTTAACTGATTACTATCTGGCCCAGATATCTCTTCAAACTTGTTTGTGAAAATATCATGAAACATTCTGTCAAATGCCTATTTAAACAAACCAGAGTTTGGATCATAGATCTGATCTTTAGCGGCTTATGACGTAAGCGAATTATTTAATTTCTGTCAACATTAGTTTATCAACTGTAAAAGAGGGAACAATCCTATCTGTCACATAAGTTTACTGTAAGAATAAGTGAGAAAAAAAATCTATCTATAATGATCAGCCTTGGTCCTGGCACATATGTAGATAGGGTTGAACATTTGGGGGCTGTTACTATTTTTGCTGAATTTGAGATATGACCTATCACACTTCCTGATGAATTTGATATCATAATGAGATTCAGGAAGGATCTCAGATTTATACATACAGTAATCTAGCAATTAGTCTGATATGTTTTATTTTGAGTGAACCTAATGAGCACTATTTTTTCTACACTTAACAGATATTAGTTAAGTAAGCAATCCTTAAGTTTTACTGGAGATCAAAAATCAATGTTAGCTACAATTTACTTTCCTTTATAAACCTGGAGTAGCATTTCACAGCTTTCCATCCTATGGCAAATTTCATAATTCCATGATTTTTGGAAATATTTTTCATACATGGCTCTTAATCATATTTGCAGATTCTATCAGTACTCTAGGATGGAATTCTAGGCCTTCAAAATCAAATCATTTAATCAGATAACAGTGTGTTTACTCTCTCTCACAGTCTGTAGATAGCATTTTATAGTGGATTTGAAACCTGATTC